AAGGGACTCCAATCATATCGCACGATCAGAAGGAAAGATTCACACACTGTTTATGCATGCAGAAGCACTGCTAAGAGGCGGGGCACGAGAGTTAGGCCTCTCTGCTCCACATAGGCGCGCTTGTTTTCAAGGTCACTCAGTCCGAGCTAAGATTCTTGCCAAATGTATCATTTTGTCACATGTGTAGCTCCTTAGTGTGCACAAACACCTTCTGCATACTCTTCTGTTTTCCAGGGATGTGAGGTTCAGCTCCTTTAGCCTTTCCTCGTAGCTCAATCCTCTCAGTTCCGGGACGAGCCTGGTGGCATACCGCTGAATCTTCTCTAACTTTGTCTTGTGTTTAACTAGGTATGGACTCCAGGCTGGAGCTGCTTACTCCAGGATTGGTCTTACATAAGTGGTATTCAGGATTCTGAAAGATTCCTTACACAAGTTTCTGAAGGCAGTTCTTATGTTGGCCAGTCCAGCATATGCCGCTGATGATATTCTTTTGATGTGGGCCTTTTGGGACAGGTTCGGTGTGATATCAACCCCCAGATCCTTCTCTTTATTTGACTCTTGCAGGATTTCCCCTCCCAGATGATACCTTGTGTTCAGCCTCCTGCTCCCTTCGCCTAATTTCATCACCTTACACTTTCCCGAGTTGAACTTTAGCAGCCATTTTCTAGACCATTCCTCCAGTTTATCCAGGTCATCCTGTAGTCTCTGTCTATCTTCATCCGTCTTGATTCTTCTCATAAGTTTTGCATCATCAGCAAACATCGAGAGGAATGAGTCTATACCCTCTGGAAGATCGTTCACATATATTAGAAACAGGATGGGTCCAAGTACTGAGCCCTGTGGGACTCCGCTGGTGACATCTCGCCACTCTGATGTCTCCCCCCTCACCGTTACTCGCTGTTCCCTGTTGCTTAAGTACTCCCTTATCCACTGGAGCACCTTCCCTTTTACTCTTGCCTGTTGCTCCAACTTCTTTAACTGCCTTTTATGGGGTACTGTGTCAAAGGCTTTTCGGCAATCCAGGAAAATGCAGTCGGCCCACCCTTCTCTTTCCTGCCTAATTTTCGTTGCCTGGTCATAAAATTCTATTAAACCTGTGAGGCACGATTTAGCATCTCTGAATCCATGTTGGTGGTGCGTTACAAAGTTATTTCCCTCCAGATGCTCTACGAGCCTTTTCCTCACGATCTTCTCCAGCACCTTGCATGGTATACAAGTTAAGAAAACTGGCCTGTAATTCAGTGCCTCTTGCATGTGTGTTTTTGTGTGTGTGTTTGTGTGTGAGTCTGTATTCACCTAGTTGTATTCACCTAGTTGTATTCACCTAGTTGGGTTTGCAGGGGTTGAGCTTTGCTCTTTCGGCCCGCCTCTCAACTGTCAATCAACTGTTTACAAACTATTTTTTCCCCCACACCACACACACACGCCCCAGGAAGCAGCCCGTGACAGCTGACTATCTCCCAGGTACCTATTTACTGCTAGGTAACAGGGGCATTCAGGGTGAAAGAAACTTTGCCCATTTATCTCTGCCTGGTGCGGGAATCGAACCCGCGCCACAGAATTACAAGTCCTGCGCGCTATCCACCAGGCTACCAGGCCCCTGCGTGTGTGTGTTTGTGTATGTGTGTGTGTGTGTGTGTTTGTATTCACCTAGTTGTACTTGCGGGGGTTGAGCTCTTCTCTTTCGGCCCGCCTCTCAACTGTCAACCAATTGTTACTAACTACTTTTTTCCACACACCCCAGAAAGCAGCCAGTAACAGCTGTCTAACTCCCAGGTACCTATTTACTGCTAGGTTACGTATCAAGAAACTGACAGTTGAGAGGCGGGCCGAAAGAGCAGAGCTCAACCCCTGCAAGCACAACTAGGTGAACACACTGACACTTGCACCCAGACACACGTTCACACTGATAGGTGCACCCTGACACACGAACCCAGAAAGCACGTGCCACGTATCAATGTGCTAACACCCAGTCACCTATTTACTGCTGGTAACTTAGCATCAGTGTGAAAGAAACTCTGTAACATTTGTTTCTGACCAGCCCCGGGAATCGAACCCAGGTCCACGTGACTGACAAGTGTGCTTGCACCCAGACACACGTTCACACTGATAGGTGCACCCTGACACACGTGCACACTGACATGTGCACCATGACAGTTGCACCCAGACACACGTTCACCCTGATAGGTGCACCCTGACACACGTGCTCACTGACATGTGCACCATGACAGTTGCACCCAGACACACGTTCACACTGATAGGTGCACCCTGACACACGTGCACACTGACATGTGCACCATGACCGTTGCACCCAGACACACGTTCACACTGTCACGTGACACACGTGCACACTGACACACGCACCCAGCACACTCACACGTGCACCCTGACACACGAGCACACTGTTCACTCACTGATACAAGTTAACACTGACACACGTGCACACTCACTGGTACATCATGACACACGTGCACACTGATATACGTTAACACTGACACACGTGCACACTCACAGGTACACCATGACACACGTGCACACTCACAGGTACACCATGACACACGTGCACACTCACAGGTACACCATGACACACGTGCACCCTGACACACGAGCACACTGTCACGTGCTCCCTGACACACGAGCACACTGTCACGTGCACCCTGACACACGAGCACCCTGACACACGAGCACACTGTCACGTGCACCCTGACACACGAGCACACTGTCACGTGCACCCTGACACACGAGCACACTGTCACGTGCACCCTGACACACGAGCACACTGTCACGTGCACCCTGACACACGAGCACACTGTCACGTGCACCCTGACACACGAGCACACTGTCACGTGCACCCTGACACACGAGCACACTGTCACGTGCACCCTGACACACGATCACACTGTCACGTGCACCCTGACACACGATCACACTGTCACGTGCACCCTGACACACGACCCTGACACACGATCACACTGTCACGTGCACCCTGACACACGATCACACTGTCACGTGCACCCTGACACACGATCACACTGTCACGTGCACCCTGACACACGAGCACACTGTCACGTGCACCCTGACACACGAGCACACTGTCACGTGCACCCTGACACACGAGCACACTGTCACGTGCACCCTGACACACGAGCACACTGTCACGTGCACCCTGACACACGAGCACACTGTCACGTGCACCCTGACACACGAGCACACTGTCACGTGCACCCTGACACACGAGCACACTGTCACGTGCACCCTGACACACGAGCACACTGTCACGTGCACCCTGACACACGAGCACACTGTCACGTGCACCCTGACACACGAGCACACTGTCACGTGCACCCTGACACACGAGCACACTGTCACGTGCACCCTGACACACGAGCACACTGTCACGTGCACCCTGACACACGAGCACACTGTCACGTGCACCCTGACACACGAGCACACTGTCACGTGCACCCTGACACACGAGCACACTGTCACGTGCACCCTGACACACGAGCACACTGTCACGTGCACCCTGACACACGAGCACACTGTCACGTGCACCCTGACACACGAGCACACTGTCACGTGCACCCTGACACACGAGCACACTGTCACGTGCACAATTGTACCCCTAGCACACGTCCACTATACCACAAATATGGTTTTCGATCTGGAAGATCCTGTGTATCGAATTTACTCAGTTTCTATGATCGAGCAACAGAGATATTACAGGAAAGAGATGGTTGGGTTGACTGCATCTATCTGGACCTAAAAAAGGCTTTCGACAGAGTTCCACATAAGAGGTTGTTCTGGAAACTGGAAAATATTGGAGGAGTGACAGGTGACGCTTCTAACATGGATGAAAAATTTTCTGATTGATAGAAAAATGAGGGCTGTGATCAGAGGCAATGTATCGGACTGGAGAAATGTCACAAGTGGAGTACCACAGGGTTCAGTTCTTGCACCAGTGATGTTTATTGTCTACATAAATGATCTACCAGTTGGTATACAGAATTATATGAACATGTTTGCTGATGACGCTAAGATAATAGGAAGGATAAGAAACTTAGATGATTGTCATGCCCTTCAAGAAGACCTGGACAAAATAAGTACATGGAGCGCCACTTGGCAAATGGAATGTAATGTTAATAAATGCCATGTTATGGAATGTGGAATAGGAGAACAAAGACCCCACACAACCTATATATTATGTGAGAAATCTTTAAAGAATTCTGAGAAAGAAAGAGATCTAGGGGTAGTTCTAGATAGAAAACTATCACCTGAGGACCACATAAAGAATATTGTGCGAGGAGCCTATGCCACGCTTTCTAACTTCAGAATTGCTTTTAAATACATGGATGACGATATACTAAAGAAATTGTTCACGACTTTTGTTAGGCCAAAGCTAGAATATGCAGCAGTTGTGTGGTGCCCATATCTTAAGAAGCACATCAACAAACTGGAAAAGGTGCAAAGACATGCTACTAAGTGGCTCCCAGAACTGAAGGGCAAGAGCTACGAGGAGAGGTTAGAGGCATTAAATATGCCAAAACTAGAAGACAGAAGAAAAAGAGGTGATATGATCACTACATACAAAATAGTAACAGGAATTGATAAAATCGATAGGGAAGATTTCTTGAGACCTGGAACGTTAAGAACAAGAGGTCATAGATATAAACTAGGTAAACACAGATGCCGAAGAAATATAAGAAAATTCACTTTTGCAAACAGAGTGGTAGACGGTTGGAACAAGTTAGGGGAGAAGGTGGTGGAGGCCAAGACCGTCAGTAGTTTCAAAGCGTTATATGACAAAGAGTGCTGGGAAGACGGGACACCACGAGCGTAGCTCTCATCCTGTAACTACACTTAGGTAATTACACTTAGGAAATTACAAATACACCCGAACACATGTTCATTCCGAGACTCGTCCATAATGTGTAACGTGCACTCTGACGCCCGTGCACTCTTATAGACGTGCACACTTAATATCGTGCACTCTTATTAACATGCACTCTCCCATTCCAGCGACGAACCCGCTGCTGACAGCCATCAAGACCAACAACACCGCCTTCACCAACCTGCTGCTGGATGTTGGCGCGGACGTCAACCTTGGCGCCAACGACGGTGAGACTTATCCTTGTGGCAGCTGGTGAGACTTATCCTTGTGGCAGCTGGTGAGACTTATCCTTGTGTCAGCTGGTGAGACTTATCCTTGTGGCAGCTGGTGAGACTTATCCTTGTGGCAGCTGGTGAGACTTATCCTTGTGGCAGCTGGTGAGACTTATCCTTGTGTCAGCTGGTGAGACTTATCCTTGTGGCAGCTGGTGAGACTTATCCTTGTGGCAGCTGGTGAGACTTATCCTTGTGGCAGCTGGTGAGACTTATCCTTGTGGCAGCTGGTGAGACTTATCCTTGTGGCAGCTGGTGAGACTTATCCTTGTGGCAGCTGGTGAGACTTATCCTTGTGGCATCCTTGTGGCAGCTGGTGAGACTTATCCTTGTGGCAGCTGGTGAGACTTATCCTTGTGGCAGCTGGTGAGACTTATCCTTGTGGCAGCTGGTGAGACTTATCCTTGTGGCAGCTGGTGAGACTTATCCTTGTGGCAGCTGGTGAGACTTATCCTTGTGGCAGCTGGTGAGACTTATCCTTGTGGCAGCTGGTGAGACTTATCCTTGTGGCAGCTGGTGAGACTTATCCTTGTGGCTGGTGAGACTTATCCTTGTGGCAGCTGGTGAGACTTATCCTTGTGGCAGCTGGTGAGACTTATCCTTGTGGCAGCTGGTGAGACTTATCCTTGTGGCAGCTGGTGAGACTTATCCTTGTGGCAGCTGGTGAGACTTATCCTTGTGGCAGCTGGTGAGACTTATCCTTGTGTCAGCTGGTGAGACTTATCCTTGTGGCAGCTAGTGAGACTTATCCTTGTGGCAGCTAGTGAGACTTATCCTTGTGGCAGCTGGTGAGACTTATCCTTGTGTCAGCTGGTGAGACTTATCCTTGTGGCAGCTGGTGAGACTTATCCTTGTGGCAGCTGGTGAGACTTATCCTTGTGTCAGCTGGTGAGACTTATCCTTGTGTCAGCTGGTGAGACTTATCCTTGTGTCAGCTGGTGAGACTTATCCTTGTGTCAGCTGGTGAGACTTATCCTTGTGGCAGCTAGTGAGACTTATCCTTGTGGCAGCTGGTGAGACTTATCCTTGTGGCAGCTGGTGAGACTTATCCTTGTGTCAGCTGGTGAGACTTATCCTTGTGGCAGCTGGTGAGACTTATCCTTGTGTCAGCTGGTGAGACTTATCCTTGTGGCAGCTGGTGAGACTTATCCTTGTGGCAGCTGGTGAGACTTATCCTTGTGGCAGCTGGTGAGACTTATCCTTGTGTCAGCTGGTGAGACTTATCCTTGTGGCAGCTAGTGAGACTTATCCTTGTGGCAGCTGGTGAGACTTATCCTTGTGGCAGCTGGTGAGACTTATCCTTGTGTCAGCTGGTGAGACTTATCCTTGTGGCAGCTGGTGAGACTTATCCTTGTGGCAGCTGGTGAGACTTATCCTTGTGGCAGCTGGTGAGACTTATCCTTGTGGCAGCTGGTGAGACTTATCCTTGTGGCAGCTGGTGAGACTTATCCTTGTGTCAGCTGGTGAGACTTATCCTTGTGGCAGCTGGTGAGACTTATCCTTGTGTCAGCTGGTGAGACTTATCCTTGTGGCAGCTGGTGAGACTTATCCTTGTGGCAGCTAGTGAGACTTATCCTTGTGGCAGCTGGTGAGACTTATCCTTGTGTCAGCTGGTGAGACTTATCCTTGTGTCAGCTGGTGAGACTTATCCTTGTGTCAGCTGGTGAGACTTATCCTTGTGTCAGCTGGTGAGACTTATCCTTGTGGCAGCTAGTGAGACTTATCCTTGTGGCAGCTGGTGAGACTTATCCTTGTGGCAGCTGGTGAGACTTATCCTTGTGGCAGCTGGTGAGACTTATCCTTGTGGCAGCTGGTGAGACTTATCCTTGTGGCAGCTGGTGAGACTTATCCTTGTGGCAGCTGGTGAGACTTATCCTTGTGTCAGCTGGTGAGACTTATCCTTGTGTCAGCTGGTGAGACTTATCCTTGTGGCAGCTGGTGAGACTTATCCTTGTGTCAGCTGGTGAGACTTATCCTTGTGGCAGCTGGTGAGACTTATCCTTGTGGCAGCTGGTGAGACTTATCCTTGTGGCAGCTGGTGAGACTTATCCTTGTGTCAGCTGGTGAGACTTATCCTTGTGTCAGCTGGTGAGACTTATCCTTGTGTCAGCTGGTGAGACTTATCCTTGTGGCAGCTAGTGAGACTTATCCTTGTGGCAGCTGGTGAGACTTATCCTTGTGGCAGCTGGTGAGACTTATCCTTGTGGCAGCTGGTGAGACTTATCCTTGTGGCAGCTGGTGAGACTTATCCTTGTGTCAGCTGGTGAGACTTATCCTTGTGTCAGCTGGTGAGACTTATCCTTGTGGCAGCTAGTGAGACTTATCCTTGTGGCAGCTGGTGAGACTTATCCTTGTGGCAGCTGGTGAGACTTATCCTTGTGGCAGCTGGTGAGACTTATCCTTGTGGCAGCTGGTGAGACTTATCCTTGTGGCAGCTGGTGAGACTTATCCTTGTGTCAGCTGGTGAGACTTATCCTTGTGTCAGCTGGTGAGACTTATCCTTGTGTCAGCTGGTGAGACTTATCCTTGTGTCAGCTGGTGAGACTTATCCTAGTGAGACTTATCCTTGTGGCAGCTGGTGAGACTTATCCTTGTGGCAGCTGGTGAGACTTATCCTTGTGGCAGCTGGTGAGACTTATCCTTGTGGCAGCTGGTGAGACTTATCCTTGTGTCAGCTGGTGAGACTTATCCTTGTGTCAGCTGGTGAGACTTATCCTTGTGTCAGCTGGTGAGACTTATCCTTGTGGCAGCTAATGAGACTTATCCTTGTGGCAGCTGGTGAGACTTATCCTTGTGGCAGCTGGTGAGACTTATCCTTGTGGCAGCTGGTGAGACTTGTCCTTGTGGGGCTGATGAGAAATATCCTTAGGGAAAGTGGTGAGAATTATCCAAGTGGGAGCTGGTGAGAATTATCCAAGTGGGAGCTGGTCAGAGTTATTCTTGTTGGAGGTGGTGGGAATTACCCTTGTGGGAACTGGTGAGAACTATCCTTGTTGGAATTAGTGAGAATTATCCTTTTGGATGCTGGGGGTGAAATATCTTTGTGTGTGCTTGCAAGAAATATCCTGTTAGGAGCATGCTGAGGATTATCCTGGTGGAAAATGGTGAGAAATATACTTAAAAATGTTTCCCAATGTTGGCTTACTTAAGTAAATTATTCAAATTACGACAATTCTAAAGTCAAGTTTGTAATTCTTTATATAAAAAAAAGAGCTGAACTACATTCATAGATAACTCCAACACCTATATTCGTATGATGCACGAGTATTAACAGGAATAATACAATTTATACCCTGAACACACAGTAAACCCCACCGGTATTAGTATTCCCCATCAACACTAAACACCAAAGGAATTATAGCATAAGCGTTTGAATTATTTTGTCCTGTATTTCATCATTAAACAGACATCATTATATCTGGTATAACTCCGAACACATAAATGATAATTTCCACGACTAAATCCATAATAAACAAGTATAATGTCCATAATTACATCCTACAAATATGTTCTGATATCCAAGACCACATCCTTAAATATACATGATAATGTCCAGTATTTAATCCCTAGTTAAGAACTAAATATCCAGTATTACACCCTAAAAATACTAGAGAATAGGACCAGAGTCATAAAGAAATATCACTATGTCCAGGGATTACATTCTAAAGAAACATTAATAAGTCCAGGGATTACATCCCAAAGAAACATCACTATGTACAGGGATTACATCCCAAAGAAACATCACTATGTACAGGGATTACATGCTCATATAGGATTTATATATACAGAGATACCGATCATTGAAGCCATAAAGATGAACAAGAAGAAGCTGACGGAAACACTGCTACAGCGGAACCCAACTCTCGACATTTATGACGGAACAGGTGAGTAAGGGATGGTGGGACAGGTGAGTAAGGGATAGTGGGACAGGTGAGTAAGGGATGGTGGTACAGGTGAGTAAGAGATGGTGGTACAGGTGAGTAAGGGATGGTGGGACAGGTGAGTAAGGGATGGTGGGACAGGTGAGTAAGAGATGGTGGTACAGGTGAGTAAGGGATGGTGGTACAGGTGAGTAAGGGATGGTGGGACAGGTGAGTAAGGGATGGTGGTACAGGTGAGTAAGGGATGGTGAGACAAGTGAGTAAAGGATGGTGGTACAGATGAGTAAGGGATGGTGGTACAGGTGAATAAGGGATGGTGAGACAAGTGAGAAAGAGATGGTAGGACAGGTGAGTAAGGGATGGTGAAAGAGGTGTTGGGATCGAACTGTCGAAAACCCAACACATTTAAAATAGGTTTGTTGTGAGTGTTTTTCTTATGTTTCTTTGTAATATAACGGAGTACATTAATCAGGTGTCAGTCTAAGCATGACCTATTGTCAGGTGCGACACACGTGGTGCTGAGGTCTGACGAAGGACAAGAAATAGTTTTGGAAAAGACTGCATCATGGATATATTCGGCTATATCACGAAATACATAAGAGAGTACATTATATACAATATAATACATGTATATATGTTAAGGCACTGTACATAATATGTACAGTTATATATGTAACTTGAGATACTATGACCATGAGAAAGTCGTCACTCATCCGGTGATTCCTCCCACTTAAGGATCATCCGCTTTTCCGGAATTAGTACCACTATCAGGAGACTGCGTGTTGCCTCAACGCTGACCTCTAAATATCAAAGACGGTGACTTCCACAACTTTCAAGACGTCTACCATGCCGCTAGGTCCTCGCGTCCTTTTCCTTGGTGAGAGTGGAGCACACTGTAACAGTTGGGTCCAGCTGGTCACACACACACACACACGTGACGACTGGATGTCGACGCGATGGAGGGGAGTAGATTCCTGTTCAGTTCATTCTCCGACCAGCACTCACTGCCTCGCCCGGTGATTCTGATTGGCTAACAGAAATTCCCGCCACCGGACGAGCCACACCGTGCTGACCGTTAACGACCTTCACGGTCGTTAACCTTGTTCTTCCTCTAATATTGAAAGTATTACTATTAAATAACAATGCCTTTTTTTATGCGACGCAATAACACGATGAAGCATTCCATAACAGAAGTGAGTAAGAGTTTGTGGTACAGGTGAGTAACGGATGGTAGGACAGGTGAGTAGGGTATGGTGGGGCACGTGAGTAGGAGATGGTGTGACAGGCGAGTAAAGATACTGGGAAAGGTGTGTGTGGGTTGCTAGGACAGGAGAGTGTGGGTTGCTAGGACAGGCGAGTGTTGGTTGCTAGGACAGGAGAGTGTTGGTTGCTAGGACAGGAGAGTGTTGGATGCTAGGACAAGACAGTGTGGGTTGCTAGGACAGGCGAGTGTTGGTTGCTAGGACAGGAGAGTGTTGGTTGCTAGGACAGGAGAGTGTTGGTTGCTAGGACAGGAGAGTGTGGGTTGCTGGGACAGGAGAGTGTGGGTTGCTGGGACAGGTGAGTGTGGGTTGCAGGTACAGCTGGGTGTGGGTTGCTAGGACAGGTTAGTGTGTGTTGCTGGGACAGGCGAGTAAGAGTTGCTAGGACAGGTTTGTGTATGTTGCTAGGATAGGCGAGAATAAGGTGCAAGGACCGGTGAGTGTAGGTTGCTAGGGCAGGCGAGAGTGGGTTGCTAGGAAAGATGAGTGTGGATTGCTATGACAGGTGAATGTGGGATGCTGGGACCGGAAGTATGGGTTGCTAGGATAGATGAGTGTGGGTTGCTAGGACAGTTAGGTGTGGATTGCTAGGACAGGCGAGTGTGGGTTGCTAGGACAAGGAGTGTGGGTTGCTGGGGCAGGCGAGTATGGGGTTGCTGGGACAGCGAGTGTGGGTTGCTAAGACAGGTGAGTGTGGGTTGATAGGACAGTGAGTGCGGGCTGCTAGGACAGACGAGTGTTGGTTGCTAGGACAGGGAGTGTGGGCTGCTTGGACAGACGAGTGTTGGTTGCTAGGACAGGGAGTGTGGGCTGCTTGGACAGACGAGTGTTGGTTGCTAGGACAGGGAGTGTGGGCTGCTTGGACAGACGAGTGTGGGTTACTAGGACAGGGGAATGTGGGTTGCTAGGACAGGTATGTGTGGATTGATAGGACAGGTGAGTGTGGGTTGCTAGGACTGGCGAGAGTGGGTTGCTAGGACATCTGAGTGTGTGTTGCTGGGACAGGTGAGTGTGGGTTGCTAGGACTGGCGAGTGGGCGTTGCTAGGACATTTGAGTGTGGGTTGCTAGGACAGGCGAGTGGGCGTTGCTATGACAAGCGAGTGTGGGTTGCTAGGACAGGCGAGTGTTGGTTGCTAGGATTGTTAAGTGTTCATTGCTGGGACAGGTCAGTGTTGGTTGCTAGGACAGGGAGTGTGGGTTGCTAGGACAGGCGAATGTCGGTTGTTATTACAGGGGAGTGTGGGTTGCTAGGACAGCTGGTGAGTGTGGGTTTCTAGGAGAGGCGAGTGTGGGTTGCTAGGACAGTTAAGTGTGAAATGCTAGGAGAGGTGAGTGTGGGTTGCTAGTACAGGGAGTGTGGGTTGCTAGGACAGTTAAGTGTGAAATGCTAGGACAGGTGAGTGTGGGTTACTAGAACAGGCGAGTGTGGGTTGTGAGGACAGGCGAGTGTGGGTTGCTAAGACAGGGAGTGTGGGTTTCTAGGACAGGTGAGCGTGGGATGCTAGGACAGGGAGTGTGGTTTGCTAGGACAGGCTAGTGTGGTTTGCTAGGACAGGGGAGTGTGGGTTGCTAGGACATAGTGTGAGTGCCTAGGACAGGCGAATGTTGGTTGCTACGACAGGCGAGTGTGGGTTGCTAAGACAGGGAGTGTTATTTGCTAGGACAGGCAAATGTGGGTTGCTAGGACAGGCAAATGTGGGTTTCTAGGACAGGTGTGTGTGGGTTGCTAGGAAAGGTGTCTATGGATTGCAAGGACAAGTGAGCATGGGTTCCTAGGACAGGAGAGTGTAGGTTGCTGAGACAGGTGAGTGTGGGTTACTAGGAGAGACGAGTGTGGGTTGCTGGGTCACGTAAGTATGAATTGCTGGGTCAAGTAAGTAGGGGCTGCTAGGATAGGTTAGTATGGGTTGCTATGAAAGGCGAATGTAGGTTGCTAGGACAGGTGAGTGTGGATTGCTGGAACAGGGAGAGTATAGGTTGCTAGGACAGGGAAACTGGGTTGCTAGGACAGGGAATCTGGGTTGCTAGGACAAGGGAGTTTGGGTTACTAGGATAGGCGAGTGTAGTTTGCTAGGACAGGTGAGTGTGGGTTGCTATGAAGGGGAGTGTGAGTTCCTAGGGCAGGCGAGTGTGGGTTGCTAGGACAGAAAGTGTGGGTTGCTAGGACAGGCGAGTGTGGGTTGCTAGGACAGGTGAGTTTGGGTTGCTACGACTGGTGAGTGTGGGTTGCTAGGACAGCTGGTGAGTGTGGGTTTCTAGGATAGATCAGTGTGGGCTGCTTGGAAAATTAAGTGTGGAATGCTAGGACACGTAAGTGTGGGTTGCTAGGACAGGGAGTGTGGGTTGCTAGGTCAGGCGAGTGTAAGTTACTTGGACAGGGAGTATGGGTTGCTAGGACAGGTGAGTGTGAATTGCTAGGACAAGGAGTGTAGGTTGCGACGACAGGCGATTGTGGGTTGCTAGAACAGAGAGTGTGAGTATTAAGGATAGGCGAGTGTGGGTTCCGAGGAGAGGTGAGTGTGGGTTGTTAGGTCAGGTGAGTGTGGGTTGGTAGGACAGACGAGTGTGAGTTGCTATTACAGGTGAGTGTGGGTTGCTAGGACAGATGATTGTGGGTTGCTATGACAAGTGAGTGTGGGTTGCTAGGACAGGCGAGTGTGTGTTGCTATTACAGGTGAGTGTGGGTTGCTAGGACAGGAAGTATGGTTTGCTAGGACAGGCGAGTGTTTGTTGCTAGGACAGGCGACTGTGGGTTGCTAGGAAGGTTAAGTGTGGAATGCTAGGATAGGTGAGTGTGCGTTGCTAGGACTGGAAAGTGTGGGTTGCTAGGATATTTGAGTGTGGGTTGCTAGCAACCCGTTCTCGCACATTTAATAAGTCAATATTGACTTATTAAATATGTGCATAGGTGACATACTTAAAATAATAGATACCCTTATAAAGATTCATAGAAAACACCGACCTTACCTAACCTACTTAGTATGTTAAGATAAGCATCTTATTGCTTCGTAATTACAATTATTACCTAACCTATAATAGGTATAGGTTAAGTAATAATTGTAATTACGAAGCAATAAGATGCTTATCTTAAGATACTAACAAGGTTAGGTAAGGTCGGTGTTTTCTATGAATCTTTTTAAGGGTATCTATTATGTTTAGTATATCACCTATGCACGTAGTTAATAAGTCAATATTGACTTTACGAATTTGCGAGAACGGGTTGCTAGCAACCCACACTCAAATATCCTAGCAACCCACACTTTCCAGTCCTAGCAACGCACACTCACCTATCCTAGCATTCCACACTTAACCTTCCTAGCAACCCACAGTCGCCTGTCCTAGCAACAAACACTCGCCTGTCCTAGCAAACCATACTTCCTGTCCTAGCAACCCACACTAGGGTGTGGGTTGCTAGAACTGGCGAGTATGCGATGCCATGACAAGCGAGTGTGGATTGGTAGGAAAGGCGAGTGTGGGTTGCGATTACAAGTGAGTGTGGGTTTCTAGGGTAGGCGAGTGTGGGTTGCTTGGATTATTAAGTGTGAATTGCTGAGGTAGGTGAATGTGGGTTGCTAAGACATGGAGTGTGGGTTGCTAGGACAGTTTAGTAAGTTTAGCTAGGACAGGTTAGCGTATGTTGCTAGGATAGGCGATAATATGTTGCTAGGACCTGTGAGTGTGATTTGCTAGGACAGGCTACTGTGGGTTGCTAGACTAGGCGAGTGCGGGTTGCTATTACA